TGTGGGATATTTAAACCGGAAATGTTATTTAATTGTTTAGCGGCATATCGATTCCTTATGGGTCATTTAATGCCGAAATGTAATTTTCTTGAGAGCATTAGTAATTTACCAAAATGTCTTACTAATATTTTTTTTAAATATATTTCTGCTAATCTTTTAAAACGTTTAAAAATGTATTGTATTGCTTTTAATATAAAAATGTATTGCTGGTATTTTTACTTTAATTTTTTTATACTTCCCTAATGTTTTGACTCAAGTTTGGGGGTTGACTATTTGCCCATAGCTGGAACCCTAATACATGCTACCACTCCTTATCAGGGTGGAACTGAGAACAGTAACAGTTAAGATGTGGTTAGACGCTACTCAAGACCTTCCAGTCAGGGACCTTGCTACCGGATGTAGTTTATCGTCATATCCAGGACTTTGTCATACTGTCCGTTAAAATTTTTGACATCTTAAACTTAAAACCATTTTTTCAGGAAATAATGTTTGTCAAGTCCAGTAATTGTTATCGTTCTGTTTAGTATTGATGCTGAGGGAGGTTTTCTTCCTACTCTTTTATGTGAAGTGGTGTGGAACGTCAGCCTCTTTCTTGACTAGGTCATTATTTTCTCTCCGAGTTACCAAGTGCTTTCCACTTTAACTGTAGTGGTGTAGTTTCTATTATTTGGTGCAGTACCTTGTTTGTAATTCTGTAAGGTCAATACACATGGTTCATTGAAGAATGGTCATCACGGGCTTAGAGGCAAACCACAATTATTATCAACGTATACGACAAATTTCTGTTTCGATAAACACTTAGAAAAGCAAAGGGAAAAGTATGAACAAAGGACAATGAATCATTTGAAGCAACACAAAAATAGGGTAATAAGAAAAATGAACAGGAAAATAACATAGCTAAATGTTTACACAAATAACTCGATACCTCAAAGAGGTAGCAGAAAAGGATTAATTGAAAAGAAGATAAATATGTGATGTAGTTAAAGAAATTTTCGTAAAACAACCGGCTGTCATTTGCGGCGCATGTGTTTAACTCCCGACGGACTTAGGTTTCTGCGATTTTGTGTTGTTTGTTCTGTCAGCCGAAACATTTATCGATTCTTACAGCCATGGCGTAATGATAATAAAAAGATGCGATGGAATTAGGAAATTGTGATGTAGTTTATCTAAATGTTTTTGAAAATCGATATCAGAGATGATGCACACAAGTCTTGAGAAGATAGGTTTGATAATATTTTATAAGACATAAATGTACTTTTTTCTTCATTGTACCGTATCCCTTCTGGATGTTGGCTATAACGGCTCTCCCCAATTTCCTGTCTATTGTAGGTCTTAGTAAATTTCGTCTTTCTGTTTTGTTCCATCATCCATTTACTCAAGTTCCCTTGGTAGAGCTTGTTTCGCTAGTTTTTCTTTGCCACTCCAGCCTTTAATCTATCTTATGAGTATCAAATTTTCCAAGCCCACTTTTCTCATTATGTATCCTAAACACAGCAACTTTCCCTTTCTGGTGTTTTGTATGAATCTCTTTTTTCTTTCCGTTATCACTGAGACTTTCTTTTGGTTCATATCTTCCTGTTCATGTTCTTCTCAGTATCCTTCTGTAGAACCACCTTTTTTTTATTGACTTAAGTCTGTTCTTCAACAATGTGAAGAGACTGTCCAGCATTCATTCCAGATTTGTACACTTTCCATGGAAATAATGAGAGAGCAAACGAGAGACTTGCCACGTCTCGTCTGTGAGAAAGCGATTGTAGGGAGGAAAAATATCGCCACGCACAAGGAACCGGAAACACTTTTGGACTTTTATCGATAGTGGGAACTGAAGATTGGGTAACCCTTGCCCATATATGGCTGCAGTACTTCATTTTCATCCTGGCTCTTGTAAAGCTAGAGATTATCAGGTGTGTGAGGTACTTGCAAGAGTGTTACAGACTACCGACCATTTTTTCCATCATCTTTAGCAATGGATCGTATCTGCGTGTTCCACTTGAGGTCTGGGTGGGTTTGAGTCCCAAGAGGTGCTCAAGGTAGAGAAAATGATGGTTTATTGTTTTTTACAAAAATATTTGCTTTTAATGGCGTTTAATTGTAGTAATTTTACTTGTTTTGATACGAATCATAAATTTGTACTATTTTATGTATATATATATATATATATATATATATATATATATATATATATATATATATATATATATATCAACACTTAGAGGCGACAGGCTGTTTCATGCTAGATGCAATCGTCAAGCCTGACGATTTTGTCTAGCATGAAACAAGTAGGAATATTTTAAGTGTTGACTTCAATGTTCGCTTTTATATTTACACAATCTCTATCTATGATATTGAACAATTTATCCCATAAATATAGCAGCAGGTGTAACAGCAAAATTCTCCACTTCGTGTAAAAAAAATGTCCATGTGTTAGATTAGATTAATCTTTGAACCGTTGTATCTCAGAAATAATTAAAGATATCTTACTGGAATTTTTCGAAGGTTTTATAAGATTATTAAACTCTCCTTTGAGCAATAAGAAAGTATAATTACTCTCCAAGCTTAAATAAAGAATCGTAACGAAATGGATAATAAACCAAGATGTCATGTTCTTCATTAATTAATCATAGCTAAGAATCGGAAGCTCATGAAGTATTCAAATAAAGTTCAAATATATATATATATATATATATATATATATATATTATTCCAGGGTTATTTTTCAACTTCTTCAAGATCATCTTCACCCTTTCTAACCTTCTGTTCTGGAGTAACAAGATGTCTCACAGGTTTTACGTACGATTTCATTTTCAAGTGTTATTTTTTTCTCACTGCTCTTTGAGCTGTCAGAGCCGAAACTCTTTTCTCACGTGCCAAAGTTCTTATGAATTGAGTTGGGTCTTTTCTGATTGATTTCTTTAGCCCTAAGTTGAAATGATGATCCATCTTCCCGTTGTGATCTCCTGATAAAGTTTTCCTCTCAAGTGTTCCTTCTTTTTTAAACTTATTCACAGTTCTCTTGATAATTCTTGAATGGATTTGAAGATGGAAACCAGAGTGTGAATATTGGTACCATTACTGAAGGCCTGGATGATTTTTGCCTCTCACCATTGCTCAGTTGGGAAGACATAGTGGGGCTGATTAAAAAAAATATTTTAATCTGTTCTCTTTTAAGCTGAATAACTCGTAGGAAATTTGAGCGATTCTTACAACAAATGGTGTCAAGATGAATAACTGTCATATCTGAAAACCTGAAAGAAAGAAACCTAATTAGGTTCGTGATTTTTTAGATATTAAACATTTTGTGGGATGAACAATTATGCTGTTATACTATTTGGAGAATGTTTTTTTTTTACACACGGTATAAATAAAAACAATATAGATACTGATAATTTTAGCTATTTCGTACAACAGCAGCGAAAATCAAATGTATCAGGTCATCCCATAAGTTCTGTCCGAATTTTGAATAAAGAAAATAAGTGACCAAATGTTACATTTAATTAGAGTTTCAATCAACAATGTATTTTCCCTGATTATCTATGACATCCTTCCATCTATTAACAAGCTTACTAATTCCATTACTGGAAAATTCTTTTGGCTCTGATTCGAAGAACTCACAAATGTCAGTTTTAACCTCTTTCTGTGTTACAAAAGCTGTTTCTTCCAAATGATTCTGTAAGCTACGAAACAAATGGCATTCTGAAGGAGCAAGATTGGGAGAATAAGGTGAATGAGGAATTTTTTCCCAACCAAGTTCTTCGATCTTTTGTGCCATGATTCTTGCTGTGTGGGGTCGCGCATTGTCCTGATGAAACATCACCTCTTTCGATTCACTCGAGCAGGTCTTTTTTTCCTCAAATCTTGGTTCAAACGCTCTAATTGCTGACAGTATATTTGAGCATTAATTGTTGCATTAGGTGGTAAGAATTTAAAGTGGATTATTCCTTGGCGATCCCACCAGATTGAAAGAAGAACATTTTGCCCATGAAGTTCCCTTCTCGGCTGTGGCTGGGGTCCTTCCTCTTTACCAAGCCACTGTCTACGACGCTTAACATTTCGATAAAAGATTCATGTTTCGTCGCCAGTTAGAAGAAAAGGTGAAACAAGTTGGCGAAAATGGAGAGAAGAGCAGATGTCAACTCGGGATTTTAGGTTGTTTTCAGACAATTTTTGAGGCACCCGTTTTCCAAGTTTAGGAACTTTTCCAAGTTGTTGAAGATGACGATGAACAGTTGTATGGTTTGAACTGAGAACCACTGCCAATTCCTCAACTGATAAAGCAGGATTTTCTTCAAGGGCTGCTTCAAGAAGCTTTTCATCAAACTCAACTGGATGTCCAGTTCGATCTTCATCTTCAAGGGTGAAATCTCCAACTCTGAATTTTGCAAACCATCTTCTGCAAGTTCTTTCATTCACACATTCCTCTCCATAAACTGAGTGAATGTTTCTAGCCGCTTCGGCTGCTGAGTTTCCTTTATTGAACTCATAAAGCATTATGTGCCTCAAATGATTCTTGGGTACTTCCATGTTAGCAGGGTTTTATCCAAACAAAATTTAATTTTATTGTTCTCTGAAATAAAATCTAATCAGTTTAAATGTATCTGATCATAAAAATAATGTTCAGCTCCATTAGACATTATAAAATACTCTTTAAATTTCGTTCATTTTAACAAAAAGTTAAAATTCGGACAGAACTTATGGGATGACCTTATAGCTTCATATGTTCATATGACTTTCTTTCGGCCTTGTTGACATCTGTCGGATAATGGAACAGATAACTTACATGACAAAAATAACCTTTGACTATTTTTGGTTTATGTAAATTAAATCGATCAGCAGACGTGCAAAGAGTTGGAATGGAACTATCTAATAGGAAGAGTGTTGAAATCTTGCCAGCTCATTCCCCAAAATTCTAACCATAATGATCAAAAATCTATAAAAAGGGATGATAGGGACAATTATCTCATTAATAACAGAGACCCAGTCACTGTGGAATCTATTTAGTTTTAGAGCCTTGTTTCTTTTTTAAGTATAAAACAGATAGATAGATAGATAGATAGATAGATAGATAGAAACATTGTAATTAAATAGATAGATAGATAGATAGATAGATAGATAGATAGATAGAAAGAAGCATTGTAATTAGATAGATAGATAGATAGATAGATAGATAGAGATGCTATGCATCATAAAAATATAACAATCTTGCTTTTTCCGTAACCTCCTCTTAGTCGATCTAAAACGCGTGAGATAGATAGATAGATAGATAGAAACACTGTAATGAGTTAGATAGATAGATAGATAGATAGATAGATAGATAGATAGAAACATTGTAATTAAATAGATAGATAGATAGATAGATAGAAACATTGTAATTAAATAGATAGATAGATAGATAGATAGATAGATAGATAGATAGATAGATATGCTATGCATCATAAAAATATAACAATCTTGCTTTTTCCGTAACCTCCTCCCAGGCTTAGTCGATCTAAAACGCGGGAGATAGATAGATAGATAGATAGATAGATAGATAGATAGATAGATAGATAGATAGATAGATAGAAACATTATAATTACATTGAGAGAAACATTGTAATAAAATAGATAGATTGACATGCTGTCAGATAGATTGATAGCAATGAGAACACACAGGAAATTAGAATGCGTACTCACGGATTGCTCTCTTAAGAGGATTCTTTAATTTGAACATCTATTAATTAATGATCTTCGTTTGTGTAAAGGTTAATTAATATGACCCCGGGGTTGCATTAATGATGTAGGGAGCGAAGCGGGAAATCACTAGTTTCTTTCGTTTAATATGAGGAACGATTTATTAGAATAGACGGAAAAATAACTTTCTTCTATCACGGGAAAAATGATTTTATTAAAAAATACATCAAAATGTTCAACATCTGTACACATTACACGACAGGTTTAATGGTAAGTGAGTCTCTCTAGATCAATTACGACTGAGTAGAGTGTGTCTACCCAGGTGTCCACATTTTCAAACTTGAACAATATCGAAGCTACGCTTAGGAAATCGTTTGGGGCACATCGAAGTGGTGTAATAATTAGCAAGGTAGACTCGCTAGCTCAATTGCGACAGATTAGAGTTCGTGCATCATTGGTGTTCACACTTTCGGTCTTCTGCGACAACTAAGATACGCTTAAGATATCTTTTGGGGCTCCTCAACGGGGTGTAATAATAAACAAGTTTCCCGCGCTAGTTCAGTTGCGACTGATTAATTATTTCGTTCATTGAGTGTCCGCACATTTCTCCTTGTGCAACATCTCAGCTACGGTTAGGGAATCTTTTTGGACTCCTCGACATGGTGTAATAGTTAACAAGTTTGCCTCGCTACTTCAATTGCGACTGATTAGTGAGTTCGTTTTTCATTTGGTGTCCACACTTTTGTCCTTGTGCAACATCTCGGCTACGGCTAGGAAAACTTTTGAGATCCTCGACGTGGTGTAATAGTTAACAAGGTTGCCTCGCTTGCTCAGTTGCGACTGATTAATCATTTAGTTCCTCATTTGGTGTCCACACATTCGTCCTTGTGCAACATCTCGGCTACGGTTAGGAAATCATTTTGGGAACCTCGACTTGGTGTAATAGTAAACAAATTAGCCTCGCTAGTTGAGTTGCGACTGATTAGTGAGTTCGTTCCTTATTTGGTGTCCACACCTTTATCCTTGTGCAACATCACAGCTAGAGTTAGGAAATATTTTTGAGATCCTCGACGTGGTATTATAGTTAACAAAATTACTTCGCTAGCTCAATTGCGACTGATTAGTGAGTTCGTACGTAATTTGGTGTCCTCACATTTGTCCTTGTGCAACACCTCTGCTATGGTTAAGAAATCTTTTTGGGTTCTTCGACGTGGTGTAATATTTACAATTTTTGCCTCGCTAACTCAATTGCGACTGATTAGTGATTTCGTTCCTCATATGGTGCCCACACATATGTACTTGTGCAACATCTCAGCAACGGTTAGGAAAACTTTTTGGGCTTCACGACGTGGTGTAATAGTTAAAAATATTGACTCTCTAGGTCATTTGCGACTGATTAGTGGGTTCGTTCCTCATTTGGTGCCCACACATTTGTACTTGTATAACATCTCAGCTACGGTTAGGAAAACTTTTTGGGCTCCAAGACGTGATGTAATAGATAAAAATATTGACTCGCTAGCTCAATTGCGACTGATTGGTGGGCTCGTTCCTGATTTGGTGCCCACACATTTGTACTTGTGCAACATCTCAGCTACGGTTAGGAAAATTTTTTGGGCTCCACAACGTGGTGTAATAGTTAACAATATTGACTCGCTAGCTCAATTGCGACTGATTAGTGGGTTCGTTCCTCATTTGGTGCCCACACATTTGGACTTGTGCAACATCTCAGCTACGGTAAGAAAATCTTTTGGGGCTCCACGACGTTGTTTAATACTTAAGAATATTGACTCGCTAGCTCAATTGCGACTGATTAGTGGGTTCGTTCCTCATTTGGTGCCCACACATTTGTAGATGTGATACATCTCAGCAACGGTTAGGTAATCTTTTTGGGCTCCACGACGTAATTTAATAGTTAACAATATTGACTTGCTAGCTCAATTGCGACAGATTAATGGGTTCGTTCCTCATTTGGTGCCCACACATTTGTACTTGTGCAACATCTCAGGAACGGTAAGAAAATCTTTTTGGGCTCCACGACGTGGTTTAATAGTTAACAATATTGACTCGCTAGTTCAATTGCGACTGATTAGTGGGTTCGTTCCTCATTTGGTGTCCACACATTTGTACTTGTGCAACATCTCAGCGACGGTAAGAATATCTTTTTGGGCTCCACGACGTGGTGTAATAGTTAACAATATTTACTCGCTAGCTCAATTGCGACTGATTAGTGAGTTCGTTTTTCATTTGGTGTCCACACTTTTGTCCTTGTGCAACATCTCGGCTACGGCTAGGAAAACTTTTGAGATCCTCGACGTGGTGTAATAGTTAACAAGGTTGCCTCGCTTGCTCAGTTGCGACTGATTAATCATTTCGTTCTTCATTTGGTGTCCACACATTTGTCCTTGTGCAACATCTCGGCTACGGTTAGGAAATCATTTTGGGAACCTCGACTTGGTGTAATAGTAAACAAATTAGCCTCGCTAGTTGAGTTGCGACTGATTAGTGAGTTCGTTCCTTATTTGGTGTCCACACCTTTATCCTTGTGCAACATCACAGCTAGAGTTAGGAAATATTTTTGAGATCCTCGACGTGGTATTATAGTTAACAAAATTACTTCGTAAGCTCAATTGCGACTGATTAGTGAGTTCGTACGTAATTTGCTGTCCTCACATTTGTCCTTGTGCAACACCTCTGCTATGGTTAAGAAATCTTTTGGGGTTCTTCGACGTTGTGTAATAGTTACAATTTTTGCCTCGCTAACTCAATTGCGACTGATTAGTGATTTCGTTCCTCATATGGTGCCCACACATATGTACTTGTGCAACATCTCAGCAACGGTTAGGAAAACTTTTTGGGCTTCACGACGTGGTGTAATAGTTAAAAATATTGACTCGCTAGCTCATTTGCGACTGATTAGTGGGTTCGTTCCTCATTTGGTGCCCACACATTTGTACTTGTGCAACATCTCAGCTACAGTTAGAAAAACTTTTTGGGCTCTACGACGTGCTTTAATAGTTAACAATATTGACTCGCTAGCTCAATTGCGACTGATTGGTGGGTTCGTTCCTCATTTGGTGCCCACACATTTGGACTTGTGCAACATCTCAGCTACGGTTAGGAAAACTTTTTAGGCTCCACGACGTGGTGTAATAGTTAACAATATTGACTCGCTAGCTCAATTGCGACTGGTTGGTGGGATCGTTCCTGATTTGGTGCCCACACCTTTGTAGATGTGAAACATCTCAGCAACGGTTAGGTAATCTTTTTGGGCTCCACGACGTGGTGTAATAGTTAACAATATTGACACGCTAGCTCAATTGCGACTGATTGGTGGGATCGTTCCTCATTTGGTGCCCACACCTTTGTAGATGTGAAACATCTCAGCAACGGTTAGGTAATCTTTTTGGGCTCCACGACGTTGTTTAATAGTTAACAATATTGACTCGGTGGCTCAATTGCGACTGATTGGTGGGTTCGTTCCTGATTTGGTGCCCACACATTTGTACTTGTGCAACATCTCAGCTACGGTTAGTAAAACTTTTTGGGCTCCACGACGTGGTTTAATAGTTAACAATATTGACTCGCTAGCTCAATTGCGACTGATTGATGGGATCGTTCCTCATTTGGTGCACACATATTTGTACTTGTGCAACATCTTAGCTACGGTAAGAAAATCTTTTTGGGCTCCACGACGTGGTGTAATAATTAACAATATTGACTCGCTAGCTCAATTGCAACTGATTGGTGGGATTGTTCCTCATTTGGTGCCCACACATTTGTACTTGTGCAACATCTCAGCTACGGTTAGGAAATCTTTTTGCGCTCCACGACGTGGTGTAATAGTTAACAATATTGACTCGCTAGCTCAATTGCGATTGATTGGTGGGATCGTTCCTCATTTGGTGCCCACACATTTGTAGATGTGAAACATCTCAGCAACGGTTAGGTGATCTTTTTGGGCTCCACGACGTGGTGTAATAGTTAACAATATTGACACGCTAGCTCAATTGCGACTGATTGGTGGGATCGTTCCTCATTTGGTGCCCACACCTTTGTAGATGTGAAACATCTCAGCAACTGTTAGGTAATCTTTTTGGGCTCCACGACGTTGTTTAATAGTTAACAATATTGACTCGCTAGCTCAATTGCGATTGATTGGTGGGTTCGTTCCCGATTTGGTGCCCACACATTTGTACTTGTGCAACATCTCAGCTACGGTTAGGAAAACTTTTTGGGCTCCACGACGTGGTTTAATAGTTAACAATATTGACTCGCTAGATCAATTGCGACTGATTGGTGGGAACGTTCCTCATTTGGTGCACACACATTTGTACTTGTGCAACATCTTAGCTACGGTAAGAAAATCTTTTTGGGCTCCACGACGTGGTTTAATAGTTAACAATATTGACTCGCTAGTTCAATTGCGACTGATTGGTGGGTTCGGTCCTCATTTGGTGCCCACATATTTGTACTTGTGCAACAACTCAGCTACGGTTAGGAAAACTTTTGGGCTCCACGACGTGGTGTAATATTTAACAATATTGACTCGCTAGCTCAATTGCGACTGATTAGTGGGTTCGTTCCTCACTTGGTGCCCACAACTTTGTAGTTGTGCAACATCTCAGCTACTGTTAGGAAATCTTTTTGGGCTCCACGACGTGGTGTAATAGTTAAAAATATTGACTCGCTAGTTCATTTGCGACTGATTAGTGTGTTCGTTCCTCATTTGGTGCCCTCACAGTTGTACTTGTGCAACATCTCAGATACGGTTAGGAAATCTTTTTGGGCTCCACGACGTGGTGTAATAGTTAACAATATTGACTCGCTAGCTCAATTGCGACTGATTAGTGGGTTCGTTCCTCACTTGGTGCCCACAACTTTGTAGTTGTGCAACATCTCAGCTGCGGTTAGGTAATCTTTTTGGGCTCCACGACGTGGTGTAATAG